TTGACTGTCCGGACTTTGTTCCTAACACCCAACCTAAGGATTACTGCACTCAGTGTCACAGCAAGTTTTACGGCCCTAGATGCAAACAACACCATTTTGAAACCAATCAGTGTCAAACGCACAAAACTTGCATCAAGTGCCAGGCACAGTACTTTGTCATAAAAGGAAAAAGGCACAGGTGCGGTTTCGCAAAATGTCACGTCTGTCAAGAATACGTGTACATTAATGATCATAAATGTTACATTCAACCAGTAATGGAGGAAGAGGAGCCAGAACCAACAGAGGAGGGGGGAGGTTGCATGGTGGCGCCACCCCCTCCCCTGTTTGTTTACGCTGATTTGGAAGCAATGCAAGACCACGAGGGGGTGTTTGTAGCCAATCTTTTATGCTATTCGTCGGCAGAAGAAGAGGACATTCACGTCTTCGACGGGGAGGAATGTGTACTTTCATTTTTGCAAGATCTGGATGATCTAACAGAAGTACCAGGCAATGAACAACAAAGAGAAGTGATTGTGGTCTTCCACAATTTGAAGGGGTTTGATGGAATGTTTCTAATAAATGAGCTGTACGGCCAACAAAGGCCAGTGGAAAACCAACTAACAGTCGGAGCAAAGGTACTCTCCTTCAAGAGCGGACCCCTAAAATTCATTGACAGTTTATGTTTTTTGCCCATGCCACTGTCCTCCTTTTCCGTAACGTTCAATCTTACGGAACTGAAGAAGGGATTCTTCCCTCATCTTTTTAATATCCCTACTCACCAAAACTACGTGGGAAGAATCCCTGACATTGAATTCTACGATCCCGATGGGATGATGCCCAAAAAGAAAGAGGAACTATTGAATTGGCACGCAGAACAAGTCAGACGAAACGTTATGTTTAATTTCCGCAACGAATTAATTGCTTATTGCAAATCAGATGTCCAATTGCTGAAACAAGGCTGTGAAGCCTTTCAGAATGAATTCCAGTCGCAGGCTGGCTTCAACCCTATGGCCGAATCCTTCACCATCGCATCGGCCTGCAACCTCTACTGGCGCAAGAACCATTTACAGCCAAACACCATAGCCGTCGAACCAATTCGTGGTTGGCGGGGTGCAAACGTGAACCAGTCATTAAAGTGCTTGCAATGGCTATNTCACGTCTTCGACGGGGAGGAATGTGTACTTTCATTTTTGCAAGATCTGGATGATCTAACAGAAGTACCAGGCAATGAACAACAAAGAGAAGTGATTGTGGTCTTCCACAATTTGAAGGGGTTTGATGGAATGTTTCTAATAAATGAGCTGTACGGCCAACAAAGGCCAGTGGAAAACCAACTAACAGTCGGAGCAAAGGTACTCTCCTTCAAGAGCGGACCCCTAAAATTCATTGACAGTTTATGTTTTTTGCCCATGCCACTGTCCTCCTTTTCCGTAACGTTCAATCTTACGGAACTGAAGAAGGGATTCTTCCCTCATCTTTTTAATATCCCTACTCACCAAAACTACGTGGGAAGAATCCCTGACATTGAATTCTACGATCCCGATGGGATGATGCCCAAAAAGAAAGAGGAACTATTGAATTGGCACGCAGAACAAGTCAGACGAAACGTTATGTTTAATTTCCGCAACGAATTAATTGCTTATTGCAAATCAGATGTCCAATTGCTGAAACAAGGCTGTGAAGCCTTTCAGAATGAATTCCAGTCGCAGGCTGGCTTCAACCCTATGGCCGAATCCTTCACCATCGCATCGGCCTGCAACCTCTACTGGCGCAAGAACCATTTACAGCCAAACACCATAGCCGTCGAACCAATTCGTGGTTGGCGGGGTGCAAACGTGAACCAGTCATTAAAGTGCTTGCAATGGCTATATTTTCAAGAAAATCAATTTGCAAAGCAGGCAGCAACTGCGGACCGCATCCGACATGTTCGCAATGGCGGCGAGCAGACAGTTCGAACCGCAAGCAAATTGTACTTTGTGGATGGCTATGATCCCACCACAAGAACCGTCTATGAATTTCATGGGTGCCTCTTTCACGGATGTCCTAAATGTTATCCTGTAAGAGACATAAGGCATTATGCCACTCCTGACAGAACCGTTGAAGAGATGTATCAGGCAACATTGGCAAAAAGAATGGCACTTCTCAGAGCTGGTTTCAAAGTCCTCGAAATTTGGGAGTGCGAGTGGGACGATCAACTAAAGAAGAATGCAGAGGTGCAACATTTTCTCAGCTACTTTGATCTACCACCGCCATTGGAGCCCCGTGACGCCTTCTTTGGGGGAAGGACGGAAGCTGTGGCCCTGCATGCTGTGGCGGGGGAGAGGGAAGAGATACGCTATGTCGATATCACCTCCCTCTACCCCTGGGTCAATAAAAACTGCCAATATCCTATTGGTCATCCTACCATAATAACGCAACCAAGAGACCAGTCCATCGGATCGTACTTCGGTTTAGCTCTCGTGGACATATTGCCACCCACAGGGTTGTTCCACCCAGTCTTGCCTGTACGATATGCAGAAAAACTAACGTTTGCACTGTGTGGTGCATGTGTCAGAGAGGAGCAAGCAAAACCTATGTTGCAGCGGACACATTATTGCACTCACTCAGACACTGAAAGAATGATTAGAGGGACATGGTGCACTCCAGAAATTGAGAAAGCCATCGAAAAGGGGTATCGAATCATCAAAATTCATGAGGTGTGGCACTTTCCCTCAGTGCAACGCAAAACAAGTCTTTTCCGCAATTACGTAGACAAATGGCTCAAAATTAAACAAGAGGCAAGTGGATGGCCGGCGTGGTGCCAATCCTTGGAGCAGAAACGAACGTACATACTAGAGTACCAACAACGAGAGGGCATCCGACTGGACATCAGCAGGATTGCCAAAAATCCTGGTCGAAAAGCAACGGCAAAGCTCATGCTCAATAGGTACTTGTTTCATGTTGCATTTTTTCATATTGTCATTCCACGCCTTCTCATTCTTTTTTTCTTTTTCATTTCTTGCAGCTTTTGGGGGAAGTTCGGGGAGAAAATGAACAAACCCACCACCGTCACCGTCAAGCAACCTGCCCATTTGTTCAATATACTGAGTGATACCACGAAAGAAATAAGTACACTTAGATTGTGCACAGACGACGTGTTAGAGGCTGTGTACAGCAGTGTCGATGACAATGCTGTGAAAGGAACGAAGACCAATATCTTTGTGGCGGCCTTTACCACCTGTCACGCCCGGTTGAAACTCTACGAGTCTCTAGACACCCTTCAAAAGCAAGTGCTTTATTATGACACAGACAGTGTGGTCTACCGATGGCGTCCGGGTCAACCCTCCATCGCCACAGGTGATTTTCTGGGGGACATGACCGACGAATTAGATGGTGACGTCATCACCGAGTTCGTTTCTGGGGGCGCTAAGAATTACGGATACACGACACGGCAGGGTAAAGTGGTGTGTAAGGTCCGAGGATTCACCCTAAATGTTCGCGGCGCAGCTGTCCTTAATTTTCAGACCATGAAAGACAATATTTTGGCTGAATTGGAGGAGCCACTGGATCATCGCCGTACCACCAATGTGGTAACGCCTTATTATTTTCAAAGAGATTTAGAACAAAAACGTATCAAAGTGGTTCCACGCATCAAACAATACGGTCTCGTCTTCGACAAACGTGTCATCAACACGGACACTAAATGCAGTTATCCTTACGGCTATGAGAGAATTGAGGAGGAAGTAAACCTTTTAATGAATTTGTAAATAAAATGCAAGGGCGTGACATCAAATAGGACGTCACTCATGTCCCGACTGTAAGTAAGGCATGACATTGTATTAAATCAAAAAAGTGATTTTTTATTGACCACAATACAGTGTGTTTTTTCTTGACTTCCGGTTGCGCAGTCACTTCCGGGGTCTGGAGAGTTACTTCCGGTTGCGCAGTCACTTCCGGTGCACTGGGGACTAGTTGAAGGTTGACTTCCGGTCCTCTCCGGGAGTCTGGGGAGGGGTTCATTGTTGACTTCCGGTCGCGCGATCATTTCCGGGGGTCTGGGAGTCACTTCCGGTCGCGCGGTCACTTCCGGGAGCCTGGGGACTAGTTTGCGAATACTGTGCTCTGATTGGTTACTACCTATGGTCCTCACAAAGGTCACGTGACTGTTTGACGTCAAAAATATGCAAATTAGGTCACGTGACCCCTATTCCCCAATACCCCTATTGACTTTCTCGCGCTCTGATTGGCTACTACCTATTCTCACCACCATTACTACTACTAGCTTTAATCCTGGCCCTCCCTACCATTATACGATGGGACTTATATTTAGAATCTATATCTTGGGGTTTTAACTTGATCTGCATCCCTATAACAATCTTAGTTTTTAGTTGCTACACGGCGATTTACGTTCTGGTTAGGAGACAGTTGCATCTGTTTGTGGCGACTTCGGTAGGAAGGTTATTAGAAGGACACTATTTGACAGAAAATTCTTGCCTCGTGCAAAAACTGAGAATTAAGGAAAGAAGTGTGGCGTACACAACATTCATATTGGTTTTGGTATTTACGGTTTGTTGGGTTCCATTACCCATCGTTGTAAACATAAATTCATGGTGTAGTACTTGTCTTTGCCAATACAATTGGCACTATGTGGTTTGTTTGGTATTTCTGCACCCACTGCTAAACCCGATTGCTTACTCATTATGTAGCGCTAGGTTTCGAAAAGCCTTTAGGAGAGTTATAAGAAAAAGTACTTTTTGACCAGTCACCAAGACAATGCATTCCTAAAATGTACGTGCTTTCGAGGAAAGATCAGCAAGACTGCAAGATATGAAAACAACCTTTTGACTTTTTTCTGTTTGATTTGCAAATAGCTATGGCCTTATGGATAGTGTGATACAATTCACAATAAATAAGTTTTGCCTGCACATTAATTAAGTGCCTAGTAATTTCTTTTCATACGTTAATAACTGTCTTCCCGCATACTAATTAAGTGCCTAGTGAGCGCCTTCCCTTTACTCTCTACAATAAAAACAAAAGACCTACATCATGATAGGCTTGACTGATCTCTTCTAACCCTGATTTGTTACTGTAGAATCAATTGCTTCTCAAAAATTTAACGTTTAATTGCAAGTTTGTGTTTTATTAAGTGCTAAAAATCCGTCATAAGCAAAACAAAGACATAGAGTTGAACCTAAACTGAAAGCTTTACTTCAACCATATCCTTAAATTAGCTGTAAAAGACAAGACTCACACAAGGAGTGGAGCTGGAAACTATTTATTTCAATCTTGATTGGCTATTGCAAAACTGTCAGTTTCTCTTTTGTCTCGATCGATCACATGACTAAAGCTACCTGACTATTCAGCTATTTGTTACTAGCACAATAGTAAACTTTTTTGTTTACGCTCCGACGAACGCTGCCACCGCCCTTATAAGAGTGCACGAAAAGAATCCGAAAAGGTTATAGCGGAGCTCGCATGCGCTTAGTGGAGTACCATGGGTAAGAAAATTGGGTTATCTATGCATCCAAGAAATTTTGGTTCTGAGAAAATCGTCCGTACAAACGTAAGTACGTCCACCCCTTCATGCAAGACGGGGTGAAAATTCGCATTTGAAGCCCCGACGAGTTTGGGCGATAAATCGCATGGCCATCCGGACTTTAAGTGAGAACAAAAAAAACAACAACAACAACAATAACAGAGACGAGTCTTTCTTTCGCGTAAATTTTAGTGTCTTCATTGACGTGGATAACAGAACAGGAGCTAGAGCGAGAGATAAAAAACACGAGAGACCAATTCCGTCGAAAAACATGAAAATTTTATAGCGGCGGTAAGCAAATGAGAAATGCTAGCGGCCTCTAAGGTGAAAATGAGCGGCAGAGGAAAAAAAAATCGATCAGAAACAAATACGACATTTCCCCCACAAAAAGTGTAACTAGGACGTTTTTGGAAGTTTCACGTTGTAGTCGTGCAAAACAACGGCAAAGATATTGCACAAAAATTGTGCTGCACGCGTACTTGCAAAGTTGTTTTTGTTTTGCTATTTAGGCCAATTTTTTTTTTCCTGTGTGTTTTTGTTTTTGTTTCGTTTTTTTTTTTGTCGTTTTCATTACTGTGTCCACTAGTCATTACACGATTTTATATTTTTTTGAGTAAACTATAAATATTAACTAGAGCTTCGCATTTAGCCCTGGCTAAATGTATTATTATTTAAAAGTACCTGCAATATTTTCGTGAAGACAGCAAGCGTGGTGCAGTATAAAAGAACTCTAGTATGTTTTCTTTTTCTCATTTAAGCACTACTTGAAAAAGTTGTGAACGTCTCTAGCTAGCGCAGAATGACATGGGGTCCCCCCTTGCCCCTGTTCTCGCCAATCTCTTTATGGGTCACCATGAGAATATATGGTTGGATCAATACGGGGATTCAGAGGTATTATTCTATCGTCGCTACGTAGACGATACATTTTGCCTTTTCCACTCTGAACGGGATGCAACCCTTTTCTTCAATTACATCAACAATCAACACCCCAATATACGCTTTACAATGGAGCGGGAAACTGACCATGTTCTACCTTTCCTAGATGTTCTAATCAACAACACTGACCCACACCAAAGTGCAACCACCGTTTACCGGAAAAAGACTTTCACAGGTCTGCTCACTAGTTATCTGAGTTTTTGCCCCTTTACCTACAAATTGGGGTTAATCAAAACCTTGATTCATAGAACTTTTAAGATAAACAACACTTGGATGGGGTTCCATACTGACCTTCAAAAATTGTCTGTCATTCTGCGGAGGAATCTCTTCCCTGAAAACCTTATCAACAAATATATTTCTAAATATATTCAGACAGCAGTCAAGGGAGGGAAAACACAGCCCTATTCAGGAGTCGAGCCCCAGGAAACGCCTAAGTTCTTCTTCAAAATCCCTTACGTTGGGCACTTCTCAGTCACGGCACAGAGGAGTATACGCAAACTTGCTAACCGGTTATGTAAACCTATTGATTTAAGGTTAGTCTTTACTACTTTCAAAGTCAGGAATCTTTTTAATGTGAAAGATGCTGTCCCTGAGGGGCTACGCACGCGTGTGGTCTATAAATTTTCGTGTGCAAGTTGTAATGCTTGTTATGTTGGTGAAACCAGCCGACACTTCTCCACACGAGTGCGCGAGCACTTACTTTCAGACAGGTCTTCGAACGTTTTTAAACATCTGCAGGGTTCAGAGTTTTGTAGAGCATCCTGCACACCGGATTGCTTCGAGATCCTGGACTCTGCAGCCACTAAGTACCAAGTGAAGCTTAAGGAATCCATGTTCATAAAATGGGAGAAGCCCGATCTCAACCAGCAGGTGAAACACATTAACCTGACTCTCTCCCTGTAAAGAACTAAGCGTCACTCATTTAACTTTGTTTTAGTACGCAATATTGACAACGCAATGTAACGAACTTTGTAAGATCGCGCGCGCTTTAAATTCAACGGCGATTTCAAAATATGTAACACTGAAGATGACGGATGTACCGTCGAAAACATGTCTGGAGAATTAAAGAAAGTTGTTATGTTTATAAGACTATCTATATTGTTGCTGCTATCTAGACCTTTTAGCTAATACTAATGACTGTACAGTTGGGTTACTCATATAATCTATTAGCAAGGTAATTTTGGGACTACTAAAGCCTGTTTGCTTACTGAAGGAAGTCTGTTTGTCTGCTTAATCCACGTTCTTATTTTGCATGTTTAGCTTTTTTCAGTATTCATATTGTACTAAAACAGTGAAGTGAACTGGCTACAGTTTGTATTTGATGGTCATTCATTTGCAACATTCAGAAGCTGGTCGCCAGTGTGTCTAGCTATTATTAAGAACTGGTGACTAGAATTTCAAGGCCTGAATTAGGTTGAGCACCCTTTTGATGATCAGAGGATTTCTGGTTTTTGTTCAAACTCGGCTTACGTTTTATCCTGCCAACATCACACAACAGCAGTTTGTTTCAGTGTTTGAAAGTGCCCCGTTTCATAGACAGTCACATGACTGTTTTTGTGACCGCCATATTGTTTACAGCAGTTATCTTTGACTGGGAGATAACATTGTGCCAAGTGTATATTATATACATGTATGTGTTCATGCATGCACTAGCATCAGGAGGTCAAGATTGAAGGACACTCTTTCAGCTGAAATGCGCTCCCATCTAGAAATCACGCACTCACTAGGCTGACCTCAAAAATTCGGCTAGCATCTTATACAATAAACTTGTAAATACTAAACATTGCGTCTAACGAGAAAGCTCGTGTGAGATGAATAGCGGACGTCGGCTGTTTAATTTGACTGGACAAGTTGGAACATTACAGTGGAACCTGGATAATACAGACACAAAAAAGACATGCCATAGTGTACGTATTATCCGGATGTCCGTATTCCTAAAAAGCGTCACGAATACAATGTTGTATTGATATTAACACTAAAACAGACAAAGAGGAAGAAGTGTAGGTACAACTGATGACTGCAGCAAAAAGGCTAAGGAAGAAAAAACGCTCATTAAATGGCTACAGTACAAGGGGCACGGGAAGAAAGACGGACCTTTTTTGTTGGACTAAAGAAAACATGTTGTAGAAGGCCTAAATGTAATAAACGGTCCTAAATATAATAAAGTCCTAAATGTAATAACATTTTGTCCTAAATGTAATAAAGTCCTAAATGTAATAACAATTTACCCTAAATGTAATAAACTCTTAAGCTGCTAATTATAGTAATTACTCGAATAAGCGCCGCATTTAGGGGTGGGGAGTTAATTAGCACCGCGGCGCTTATTCGAGTAAATATGGTACTAAGCGGCATTGCTATGATATTAAGCTCCGCTCTCAAATAAGCGCCGCATTTTTGGAGAAAACAGTTAATAATTGCCGCGGCGCTAATTCGCGTAAATTCGGTACATTTCCCTATGCACTGTGAAACTTAACGTTTACAAATAAATTGCTTGTAAACGGCAAAGTAACAGTATTTTTCTGAAAAAAAGCAATATTTAAGCAATAGAAAACTTTTTTCCTGTGTTTGAATAGCCATGATATAAACACTCGAGAGGTTGGGAGAATTCGAGACAGTTATGCAAACTCTCGACGTCGTCTCAGGTTTGCATACTACTACATGAGAAATTTCTGCAATTTGATTGGCTTAGAGCAGTGGTATTTCAGCTTAATTTGAAATACCTACATATGAAAATTACAAAACTTCTAAGGGTGGTGGTATAAACAATTAATAGCATGATTTGTACGTGATATTTCAAAATTGTCTCAAATTTCACTCGCCTAATGGCTCATGAAATTACGTATAACAATTTTGAAATATCACTTATGGTATTTATGCCAAATATCACTACAAATCATGCTATTACCTATACTAATAGGACAGTTAAATAGGAATGTACGCGTCATGCCTAAGTAGGGACCTTTTAAGGTCCCTACTTAGGGTTAAAAGCACCGGACAAATCTATGACGCGGACGTGACACCATTACCGAAAAAAACTGGGAACGAGAACGTCGTCGGTCACGTCACTTGTAAACATTAAGCCAACGTCACTAAAATGAATACGCGGACCTCTGCGAATGTGTTTATTAAATGGCGTCGTTTAAAGAGACTACAAACTTAGTTTTGGAATGTTATGTTGATGGAATTATTGACGAAGACGATTTTATGCTCCTCTACGACATTAATCAGTCAAAAAATCCCGAGTTTCCACACGAAAAGTACGAACTCTTTAACTTCGATGCCTTGGACCCGGTCGAGTGTGTAGCTGACTTTCGTGTCGAAAAACAAGATATTCCAAGGTTGGCTGATGCTTTGGGTATCCCTCCGGTCATTAAATGCCAGCAAAGGAGTATATGTGATGGTACTGAAGGACTGTGTATGCTTCTGCGACGTTTTGCTTATCCCTGCCGCCTTAGTGATATGATTGCACGATTTGGACTTCCTGTTCCCGTTATGAGTATGATCACCAAAGAAGTTATGAATTTTATTAACAACAATCACCAACAGAGACTAACCCAGTGGAATCAATTCCTTTTAAGCCCTGCCTCTCTGCAAGAGTACGCAAATGCAATTCACCGTGCCGGCGCTGCTCTTGATAATTGTTTTGGATTCATAGACGGAAGTGTGCGTGCAATCAGTCGTCCAGGAAAACACCAAAGGCTAGTTTATAAGGGACATAAGAGGGTGCATGCCCTTAAGTTCCAGTCTGTGAGTCTACCAAATGGTTCATTGCTAATTTTTTTGGCCCAGTAGGTAGGAGTGAATTTCTACTACAAACCTCAGCTAACTAATGATGCTACATCACTCCCCTTTGTAAACACCAGTGATTTTAATATTTTTTTTAATTAACTGTTGGCAAAGATGAGTTTTTAACAAAATAGAAAGGCATTGCTTGGGAAGCATAAAGTCTTGAAGTTAACCGAAAGATAAAAATATATGAAGAAAAAATTGACCACCTGTCATGATCGAGTGTACATGTACTCTCAGAGAATGTAGCCCATTAGGGTCCTTTCTAGGCAACTATGATTATCAGGTCTTATGTTTTAGAACATGTGACATATATTCATCATTGCATGATTTTTTTCTTTTCAGAAGGGAAGATGCACGATGCAGCTATGTTGGCAGAGTCAGGTTTTCTACGTGATTTAAACATGTATGCATTTTCACCAATGGGCGTACCCCTCTGCATATATGGTGATCCAGCATATCCATTAAGGATACATTTGCAAGCCCCATTCAGAAACACAGCAAGGCTCACTCAACAAATGGAGTTGTTCAACAAGTCAATGAGTAAAGTGCGAATGTCAGTGGAGTGGATTTTTGGGGACGTCATAAATGATTTTAAATTTCTTGACTTTAAGAAAAACTTAAAGATTGGTTTGAGTGCTGTAGGAGAAATGTACTTTCTAGGTGCCATATTACGGAACTGACTGACATGCTTACATGGTAACCTAACAGCTGAACATTTTGATGTTCAGCCACCAGTTTTGTAAACTACTTACGCTAACCATGGAAGACTACTACGTAGACTGAGTAAGGTCTAAAAGGCATCAATAAGAAAGAAACTTTGATTCATTTCTGTGGTCTTTTTTGTAATAAAAAAAAGTAGAAAGAATTTTGTTAGACCATCATTAACAACATTAACATTATTGAATATGAGGTGATTCTAGCTAACCTGGCCTAATAGTGTTTGTGTCTTTTTTGCCATATATCTGAACACAATAAGTTTTTATCAAATGAGCTTTCAGGAAATAACATAGGCAGTTCACTCAAGCACAGTAATTGATAATTAATTTTATTGCCATCCAAAAGAATTTACCACAGGCATAAAAATATCTCACAACAAGACAACAACAAGATTGCACTGACATAACAATACAATATTTTGTTTTTGATGGTTGTTAGGAAGAATTTAAAAATGACAAGTTCTTCATCAGCTGAGAAAGATAAAAAAATTACTTTTTTTTCTAGTTTCTCGAAAAGTTTCAAGAAAAGTTCAGCCTGCTGTTGTTGCTGGAACAGCATTGCAAAAGCTTGCATTTGTTGTTGTTGTTGTTGTTGCTGCTGTTGTTGCTGTTGCAACACTTGCAAAACATCATTGTGTTTTTTTTGTTCAAGCTCCAACTGAGCCTTCCTTAGCTCAATCTCTTCTGCCCTCCCCTGTCTTTCTTTTTCGCCCTTTTCCCGCAGGTAGGCCACGGTCTCACTTCCGGCAGAGCGTCTTCTTTGTGGTTGTTTGCAGTCCACAGAATTTTCTTTTTCATCCTCTTTCCTTCTCTTTGTGGTCCCCAGACTCTCCATGGCCACCTTCCTTACCTCTTCTGCCTTTTCCCTCTCTGCCATGTCATCTTTCCTATTCATGTTGTTTTTGTGGATTTCGTCAGAAGCATCCTCTTTCTCAATGAGATATTCAAGTGCCTCTTCTACTTCTGATCTTGTGGGCGAAATGCCACTTGCCTTTTCTTCATTTTTTTTATTTTTATTCTCATCCTTTCTGCAAGGAGGTTATATCTGTAACAAGAAGTAAAGGATTTTTTCAGTTTCACAAAAAATTCCTCTCACAGGTTAGCTAGAAACAATCTATCTATGCAAAGTGGTTTTGTGTGGCACACCTAGGGCATTTAAAGTTAAGTACATTTCATTATATTAATTGCGTTTCGTTTTTTTTTGTTTTGTTCACTTTTGAGCATGATATAGAGGTAATTTTCTTTAAATAATGTGTGATGCTACCTGTCTCTTACCGCCCTTTTGTCTACTCTAAATGGGACATCGATATCCTTTACAGCAACAAGGGCTTCAGCAATTGCCGCCCACTTAGCACTCCTCGGAGTGGTTCCCTTTTTTATATCGGTAAATGGTTCAGTTGTTATAATTTCTCTGCATAACAACATATCATGCTTTTCTGTCCACAGCATGTTCCTTTTGACACAAAACGAAAAAGCAAACAAAAGTTTTATTCTATGCTAGATAATCATAGTCTGGCTGGCCGGGTCAAAAAAAAAGAAAAAAAAATGGCATATGTAGAATAGTACTGAATTTGTAAGTTTCCTTTTCTGTTAATCATAACGCTGCAAATGCCTCGACAAAAATCAAATGCCCGATTGCAATGCAATTAATCCAGTGGTTTGTTATTGCACTGTAACGTAACCTAAAATGAATACACTAGAAAAGAAACGAAAGTCATAATGCTTACACACATAAAGGTATGCATTACATTCATGTACACTGAGTAGTTTACAACAGTTGTAAAAAATGTAATTTGTGTAAATTATAATCTATTCGTGCGGTTGCAAGAAACAGCTAGCGATTCCCAAACTACGGACGTAATGCGAAATTCTTAAACGGGAACAACACTTTAAATTAACTGAAAACCAGCCGAAAAACAATAAATACACGAGAGGTTATTTTGCGCATTACATAACTCGGAAGTTTCGTATAGATGAGCAAGAAAATTCGAAAAGCGCTAGTTACAATAATTTACAATGGTTTCTTTCTCCTTTCAAAACTACCTATCGTTCGTTTAAACTGAGACAGCCATTAAAACACTAAATGATAACTAGGCATTTTGGCGATACCTAAACATAGGAAAAATTAAGCAAACCTTGGAGGACAAGAAGTGCTTTTCACGGATGAATTCTCTGCCATAATTTTCGGCACGGCTAAAAAGTAAACAAACAGTGAGGGTCCGTTTTCAACGCAATAATTGAGTTACATGGATTTATGTTGATAAATCAACATTCGTTAGTATTAATCATGGGTTCTCTTCAGTTTTTTCTTACCTTAAGAAAACTTACTATCGAAAAATAGACTGTCGTTTCGACGAAACGGGACTTGCCGCAGTTTGTCGTCGGGAACGTCAACAAGACGAGAGGCCAGAACGGTAACCAGGGGCAACCAAAGTTAATTATGCAGACTTCCGATCTACGTCCGCGTCATAGATTTGTCCGGTGCTTAAGGTGACTCGACCCAGTTTTTTTTGGGGGGTACCATCCTACTTTGAAGCTCTCTGCTATCCCCACCTTTACTTTTATCGTAAGTCTAACACATAGAATGGATAACATAGATCAATCTACAATATAACATAAAATTTTTGGCGATCGGAGTAAATGTCACGTGGTTATAATCCCACGCCCCTTTGAGGTCTGAGTCGAAAATCTGCTGTTGCCGGCATTTTTTCGTGAAAATCTGTCGGCTACACATAGTGCGCATTAGTGCCTTGCGTTGAACAGAGTTTCACCAAAATCGCAAAGACCCAATTCGAGAAATTCAGCTGTTTCCAAATTTAGGTCAATTTATGCAGAAATGATAAGCAAACTTTACACGGTTATATCTAATAAACTATGAGATTCATCCCTTTATTTTGGGCATCGTTATAACAGATGGGTCCTTGCAAGTCATCAAAACGCTTTAGGGCCTTGTAACTGCGCGCGATTTCGTGCAAAGCAAACATAAAGAAATTATAGTTTTCGCTATTTGTTGACGTTTGTCAGCGTTTAAGAGTCCTGTTCACGAAAAAAGCATTTTCTTAAAAATTCGTAGTTTTTTTTCCTTCAAATTTTTTCGGGGCCACAATTGATTAACTAACTACCCGGATTCTGAATTTCATGGTCATTGAAAAACTGTGACATTATCTTCTATAAGCCCAAACTTGAGTAAACATTGAAGATTTTTAGCGTTTTGGCTGAGTATGTGCTTTGGGAATTGTCTGTTTCTGGTCTGTCATTATACAGCATTCTTGTTCAGCACGCGTGCAATGACCACTTCCGAATGCTCACCGAGATATGATAATTTAGTATGAGAAAATAGAAGGGAATCCCGTCACGAGTTGGTTTAATTATTGGCTTGCATTAAACCTATGAAAAAATGATATTTTTTAATAGTAAGTAGATTTAGTGTGTAGCACTTCTTGATTTTTTTGCAAAGGCACAAGAAGCACGAGAATTGATTGAAAATTGTGAGTTGAGCCTCTATGTATCACGCGATGGCCTGTCTCACTGTACCAAAATTATCATATCTCGGTGAGCATTCGGAAGTCAGCCAAGCGCGGTCATTGCACGCGTGCTGAACAAGAATGCTGTATCATGACAGACTAGAAACAATAGACAACTCCCAAAGCACAAACTCAGCCAAAACGCTAAAAACTTTCAATGTTTACTCAAGTTTGGGCTTATAGAAGATAATGTCACAGTTTTTCAATGACCATGAGATTCAGAATCCCGGTAGTTAGTTAATCAATTGTGGCCCTGAAAAAAAAAAAAAATGAAAAAAATGCTTTTTTCGTGAGAAGGACTCTTACGGTGGCTCGATACAGTTTTTCAGGGTCAAAACCTCACAAGTTTGAGCATAAACTACGTCGCCATAAACAAAGTTTTGGAAAAATTGCCACCACAGTTGTATTAGATAAAGATGAAAATTTGTTATGATCAGGGTTGCAACGGCATCGGAGTTGTCATAGCAACGAAATGACGCTATTACCTATTTTACTTGCAGCAGTATATCTCGGCACTGGGAACTGTTCTTCCAAAATCGTTCACGGGAGCTGTTTCCTCCAATAACGGCCTCGATGTTCGTGAAGTTTAAGCGAAATCTGTAAGAGCGTTATCGAGATATTTTGGGATGAAGTTTTTACAGCTAGAAACACAGTAAAAAATGGACAATATTGTGTTTGGCCGTTATCTGTAGAAAATGAAGAGCTTTTGACATGCAATTTCACCGCAGAGTAGTTTCAATGTTTTTAAAAACGTGTGTGAAAGATCATTTAGATAGCTCCAGCCGATTGCTAGAAAGAAGGGTTTCATTAGTATGTATCGAAGCACTCTTGTTAGCGGTTTTGTAAACATTTTGGTCTTCATTATCAAATTGGAGAATAATTTTTAAACCGCTCGATAGATTTTTTAAAAAAATTAATGTTCTTGAAATTAACCTTCCTTTTATATGACCTTTTAGCTTCAAGATTATTGATACATTGTAAGGCAGTAAAATAACGGCTACAATTCGCTACTTTTTTATCGGAAGTTTTGTCACTACAAGAGAAAGCCACTCTTTATTCAAGGCATTGGCTCCAAGTTTCATTTTTACGTGAACAGCAGTAACTAACAATGCATTTGACATATGCAAAAATGCTAGCTATTGTTGTGCACGAAAATATGAAACTTGGAGACAATACCCTGAATAATGAGAGGCTCACACTTGTAAACACAAAATTTCAGCCAAAATATTAGCGAATTGTAGCCCTTATTTTATTGCCTTACAATATGTTAATAATCTTGAAACTAAAAGGTCATATAAAAGGAAGGTTAATCTTAAGAATCTTAAATTTTAAAAAAAATCTATCGAGCGGTTTAAAAACTATTTGCTTGTTTGTTAAAGTAGACCAAAATATTCAAAAACCGCTAACAAGAGCTCCTAGATACATACTAATCAAATCTTTCTTTCTAGCAATCGGCTGGAGCTATCTCCATGATCTTTCACACACGTTTTTTAAGAAGATTGAAACTACTATGAGGTGAAATTGCATGTCAAAAGCGCTTTGTTTTCTACAGATAACAGCCGAACATAGAGATTGTCCATTTTTTACCGTATTTATAACCACAAAATCTTTATCCCAAAATATCTCGATAACCACGTGACATTTACTCCGATCGCCAAAAATTTTATATTATATTGTAGATTGATCTATATGTTATCCATTCTATGTGTTAGACTTACGATAAAAGTAAAGGTGGGGATACCAGAGAGCTTCAAAGTAGGATGGTACCTCCCCCAAAAAACTGGATCGAGTCACCTTAAGGTCCCTAGTAATTGGACAGTACGCGCCATCACGCGCGCGCTTAAATGGCTTTTTTTTCACTGGTAGCAAAAAAATCTGGGAATTTCTTGTATTTTGATTAAAAAAAAAGAGCCTAATATATGACAAATTTTGTTAAAGTTATGATTAATTGGTAACAGAACTTCGTGTCGTCCTATTCGGTCTGTGATCACACTCGTGATTAAACAAATCGGACTCCCGCTACGCGGTCGTCCGATTTTATTAGTCACTCGTATGATTACAGACCGAACTGGACTCCACTCAGTCCTGTTACCATAACTAATTACTGTAATTGGCAGCTTAAGAGTTTATTACCTTTAGGGCAAATTGTTGTTAAATTTAGGACTTTATTACATTTAGGACAAAATGTTATTACATTTAGGACTTTATTACATTTAGGACCGTTTATTACATTTAGGCCTTCTACACATGTCACGTTAGTTTGCTACTTTTTATTTAACTTATGGAAATCTGTCATGATTTGAACAGGGTACAATGTCTTGTAGAAAAAAAAATGAAAATGCCTATTTAACCAGTGTCTGTAAAGCGGGGATGAGAGTTTGTGCTTCGATACACCAAAAAAATGTCCGTTGTCCGTAATAACCGGTGTTCTCATTGCGGGTTAATTAAAGGGAAAATATATGATCTTTTGTTGGAAGTAACTAAACTGTCCGTACAGACCCTTCCACGGTTTTTTCAACTGCTGACCTGGACCAGTTAGGGAAAAACCGTTGGTACCACTGGAAAGAGCGCCTTAAAATTAATAAACTTGCTAAGTTTAAGGGTGATACATCCTAAGCGAGCGAAGATATAGCTCTGCAAAGCTGCGAAAATTTACAGACGTTTGTATAGTGGGAATTGTAAAATTTCGCGCCTTCCAGGAGCAATATCTCCGTTACATTTCAACAAATTACTTTCTAACGTGGCAGGTTTACTTATTTAAAAGCGTTCTTTGCCACGGAGTTGACGGATTTTCTCTAACTCATTTATGTCAAAAGTTGAAAAAGACGAAAAAATTAAAAAAACGTGGAAAGGTCTGTTAAGCGCGTGTCCGTCGAGCGGGGAAATTGTTGAGCATCTCGAATTAGACCGATGGATTTCAGAGCC